CTTTAGTTATGGTGTTAACCTGTATTCAAATTTAATAGCAAATATCTGCTTGAGTTACAGTGGTAAAAACATCTAACCAAACATCTACAACAAAATTGTCTATATTAAAATGTGAAAATACTACAAAAGACATTAATTAGAATCAAATTCTTGAATAAAACAAATTAAAAACTATAATGTAACAACAGCGACAGCTTCATACTTTCTCATACTTATATTATGAACAGTAGTCATCAAATTTCTTTTCTATAGCCCATTTCAGTAATACAGATATTAGAAAACTATATGCTGTAAACATGCAGCAGTTAGGCAACAATAACATGAAAACCTTTATATAGAAGCATTTTCTTGTACTATTGTATGATATAATTACTTCAAACATTGGTATGCATGGACATAATATTGTTACTAAATTATGCTGTTTTAAACATATCCTTAAATATTAATGCTGTAACTGTAATATTTACATGCTTGAATAATAGATCATAATTTGGTAGGACTTAGAACTATTATTAAGATAAAATACATATTGTGTAGGCCTATATACTATATTTGTGTACACAATTTTTTCCTAGACCAAAAATAGAGCATATTCAACAGTAACAGCCTCAAATAACAGCCTATTTTCAGACTTAATGAAGTACTTCCTTTTCTCTGGCATTTCTTATATGAAAAATAAAGTATAATCTGTGTTTGCATAAACAGTCTGCTTACTGATGAAGTAATTTTCTTTCATATAATTACATGAACACAATGTGTAAAAATATCATTATACTTCTCACCATTAAAAATCCATAATAAAACCAATAAATACTACATACACATAAATGTATAGCAGCTATAGCAACCATTTTCCCATATCATCTTTATAATTTTTATGGTAGAATTGTAGCAACAGAAATGTATGTTCACACCAACAGCACACTTCACTAGACAAATACAGATACTCCCAAACTAGTGGAGTTACAGCGCACATATGAAGTATGAACATAAATGTTTAATACTTTTACATGTGATACTACAAGAAAGCAACTTTCTTTCTTATGCACAAGGGTTCAAATGAAACCAGTCTGGGAATTATTCTGAACAAAACAGCAGAGGTTGTTAAAGTGTCCACGGGTGTTGAGGCAAGCATCCCATTGACATGCCAGGTATGATGGATCTCCTCTGCAAAGAACTCCCTGGGCAGCTGCTTCTGCAAAAACTGCACCAACTTGGCCTTGATATCTTCCAGCCTGAATCTACAGCCCTTTTGTTCTGGCATTTAAGCACCCAAACATCATCACCAACACAGAACAATTGTAGAACTGTCTTCAGATCATCAAGAGAAAGCATCCCACATGCTCATGGGGGGTCATGTAACACCTGTTCCCACATGGCTTGCACTATCTGGGACACGCCACATTCCCACAGACTGGAAGGTGTTGCAATTTTCACCACGTGACTTACGAGTATTTGGTTCCCCAAGGAAGGTGCTAAAAGATCAGATTCAAGTTGGATGAAGACATAATGGCCATGGTGCCAGGAAATTCTGGGCAGTGGATTCATTGCCTGGTGCATCAATGTATCAATAACTCTCACATTCTGTTCATCATTCATGCTTTAGTTTACCATTTATTCAACTAAAACTAACATATTAGTCAACTATTTTCAGAAACAAGAAACAAATTTATTCCACGAGAAACTAAATTGTTTCTATAATTATGTTGCCTTGTTAAGTTTTTAAGTTTCCTCATCTTTGTTTTACTGTTACTATAACTGTAAAATGAAATTATGGCAATTTAGCAACACTTATCTTGAATAATATGTCTTCCAGAACAGACTTCTGTGTTGAGAAATCAATTACCTACAAAGAAGACAATTCAAAATACTTTTCAAGTGATTCTCCATTCTGTAAAATAAACATCTGGTGGCAGCTGCAGGTTCATCCGCTTGGAAACAACTTAATTCATGTAAGTACAATTGATAGATCTTAGAGATGTACTGATCCAATATAAATGTTGTCCTACATTTACATGTTGCTCACATACGCACATTTCTTGGTTCTGAAATTGTAATTTAAATTTATAAGTTTGGTAACTGGCAACAGACTGCAGGTGAATTCTATGATTTAAACAATGATCAGAAAGTCAATGATGTATTTTGGAGCTGCAAACTGTATCAAGCTTAAGATGCAAATTAACTACATAAACAAAATGTACTATATTTTGAAAACTGGCTCAATGCAATTAGCTGTCAGTGTCTTCTAGGTTGTAATGTCATATTGACTTGTAGGAATATACCAAACATTTCAGAGGAATTTATTGCCTCCATCTGCAGAGCTGTTTCACTTCAGCTAGCTTTCTGTGATGAACATTACTTCCTATATTACTTTTTAAAGACTGAAACTTAAATTTCCAGTTTTACACCACAGATGATCTTATAATTCCCAAATGGTAACAAATATATGAACCCTTCAACTGTGAATATCACTCGCTGTATTTTAAAATTATACTGTTGAGAATAGCATCTTATTTGTGCAAAAGAAAGTGGTAGCCATTCTTTTTCAATTGATGAAGGATTATAGAACCCAAAGCCTCTTGTTCTGAAATATTCTGATAAATAAACATGAAAGTATATACATATCTCAATGAAGAAGTACACTCTTTATGTATTTTACTTGGCTTTTATCATATAAATATAGTTATACAGCTATGTACATTTCAAGTGTTCGTTGTAATTCTTCTTCTGCAGACTGAAAATTAAACTTTCTTTCTTCTACCAGTGACAAAATATAAAATATATCGTCTTTGTCATGCCCCGCCCCTCCACCCATGCACTGTTTGGAATTTAGTATTACTGCCATCACTTTTGAGTAAGATAGGACTATCTGCTTTGCAGCTTTCATGTAACAATGGTTTTGAAACCAAGGAATCTATATAAGAATTTACTATCAATTTAGTTTGCATTTCTATGTGAACTATCCTTCACTTTAATCAAGCACATATCCTAAAAGTTACATATTTTCCTGAGTTCTCTCATCCAGCATTATTATTAAAATAATAATTATTAGTATTTATATTTGAAATAGGACATCATAATGCCATAAAGCTTCATATCACATCTGTGGACTGAACACCTATGAAAGGGTGTCATAACTAGCTATATACAACAGACCTGTTGTACATTACAGTACAAATGCATTGTTCCCATCCAAATGCAGCGGTTCACTGCATAAAAAAGACAACTGATTTGTTCCAAGCAATCAAAACATCAGACCAAGAATGGTCCCAGCATTTCTGTTCACCGCATAACCATAATAAAAATTTATAATTACTGTTCACTAGAAGCCATTCATTGAACTGTTGACACTTAACATTCTCTATTGTGTAATAACAATGGGAAGGATATAGAAACAATTGTTTACATAACTATTTTCTGTCTGCATATCCTGTACACTACCTAACATGAAAGGTTTGTGCCAATTTGAATGCACGTCTGCAGAACGTAAGTTTCCACCACATATGAAACCACATGATAAATCAAGGTAGTAACAAACATAGTAGTGCTACAAAATAAATAAATTAAACTATACTGAATTAACCCTATAATCACAGAATCTATAGACCAGTAACTTCTTCATACTGTTGAAATTACATAGATATCACACAATTAGTGCACTCAGGAAACTAGCCTTCCAAAAATGTACTGTGTGTGTGAATCAGATGAAAGTATCCATTGAGCATAATCCAGAGTTTTTCAAACTCCTTTTGTTTTTATCACAAACTGAACACATTTAGATTA